GTCTCCTTTTTTTTGAAAATTTAGGATCCCGTGTTTTCATTTCTTTAAACATTTTGTGCATAATTACTTTGAATTCTGTACCTGAAATCCTCCGGATCTAAATCCGCTCCCCCGTCTCCCGTGTGTTCGGTGTTTTGGGTTCTGAGTTCACACGTGGGGAGATCTTTGTGGAATGCTTTCCCTCTGAGGAGGTGCCAGGAGCCAAGGAGGTTCTGCAGACCTGAGCCCGTATCCCCTTCCTTTCCGGATCGCTGTTGGGGGTGGGGCGTGGGGTCGGGAGGGAGGCGTGGGGGTAGCATTCACCTGCAGGCATTTAAAACCCAGTGCTCGCAGTTCTGGTTTATTAATCCATGGGTGTGATTTGGGGAGGGGGAGACAGGGTAGGCTACGGGCTTAGAGATGATGCCTTCCTACACGTCCATGGACGCCACAACACGTGTGTTTCCTAGGAAAGCCCCGCACACCTGTCTGCCGCATGACAGGAAGGTTTGGTGGGAAGGGGCGGGGTCACACCCAGGGATGTGGAAGCCACCCCCAGGCCGATGCAGGAGCACTCACCTGCTGGTGTCAGGAGTGCGGCACGCGTGTGTTGCATAAGCTCAGAGGGACCGTTCAGGCCGAGCCACGACTCGTGAAGTGGTCAGGTGAGGGCCGAAAGGAGGAGATGGGGAGAGTGGTACGGAGCCGGCCTCCGTAAGCAGTGTTGAGCTGATTAGGGAGCAGTGGGAAGAGGGAGAGGATGGAATCTGGGTGAGTCTGAAGGTTTATGACTAGAAATGGCGTTGTAACCATCAACAGAAGTCGTGAAAACCAAAAAGGAGCCTTCGGAGATGACAGCAGATCTGTTTCCATGCATGTTAATTTGATGCGAGGCCAAAGTATCTAAAGAGTATCTCTAGGCATTTTTTTAAATCCCTAAGTGATTGGATTTGGGGGTCAGAGATACAGATCTGAGAATTGTCCGCATAAGTTAGAAGTGACTGTCTAAGCGTTAGAAGGAAAGGAGCCCTGAGAAGTGGTGAGGCACGGCCATGAAATAAACCCCCAGGGTATGTATTCACACCTGGCCGCCTGAAGAAGGGCCAGGGAAGGCAAGAAGAAGCTGTGATTTAAAAGCTAGCGGAGCGCCTGGGTGGCTCCGTTGATTGAGCCTCTAACTTTGGCTCAGGTCATGATCTCACGGTTTGCGAGTTCGAGCCCCACATTGGGCTCACTGCTCTCAGTGCAGAACCCACTTCAGATCCTCTGTCCTCCTGCTCTCTCTGCATCTCCCTTGCTTTCCTCTCTCTCAAAAATAAATAAACATTAAAAATAGCTTTAAAAAAAATAAAGAAAACTTTAGCTGAGTATGAAAAAGCTATGGCAAGACGGTACTGAACCCACCCATCCGTCCTTCCCGCAGGGCAGACATTGCTAGTTGATTGTAGCACTCGTTCTCCAAGATCCTGGAGCCAGCCTTGGAATCCTCAACACGGATTCTTGGCAGCTGCCCAGAACTGTTTCAAAAAAGTTGAGAACTGTCCTGCATCCCTCCCATAGCATCTCAGGGTAGAAAGGCCCTATGGGTCGCCTCTGAGATGCCAAATTTCCACCAGTCTCCCTTAGAAGAGGACACACAACACAACAAGGGATTGAACTCCTCAAGGGTGCAGAGACCCAAAGTTGGCTGTTGCATCTGTGGATAGCCCCAAGGGGGAGAGACTCTTCTGCAAGTACAGACAGGAATATTTCGCGACCTAGAAGGTACTAGAAAAGGAAACTTGTATCCGGTATAAGTAGACAGAGAAGACAGGTGGTGGAGTTGACCGTTAAGGTGATTGAGAAGCCACAGAGGACATGCTGTGGGGACAGTACATTTGGAAACTTGCAAGAAATGAACTCCGACGTTCCTGTGAATGCTTAAATGTATTTGTGCCCGAGAGGAGCGCTCACCTGCACAGGTGAGCCTTGTTTACGTAATTAAATAGGGCAAAGCCAAACTTCAGCACTTGAATTTGAAAGTTCTGCCTTCACACGGGGTATGACCAGCATATTAGTGGAAACGCTCAGTGCCAACTACTTCACTGGAATGAAACACGAAGTGTCGATGTCCCTGTGTCACAGACCACATCCCTCCCCCCCCCCCCACCATTGTTCTCACTGCTTTGTATTCAATCATCAGCTTTGTATCAGTGTGTGTGCGCCCGCCCTCCCGGCTCCGGACCGTGTGTCCTGCTTGCCACAACCCTTGCCCCCTGCGTGGTAGCCGGCAGCCATGTGACTGAGCCCCAAGGCAAGCTCAGTTCCCTCCCTTCATTCCAGAAGATGTAGCCCGCGATTCAGGCTAGAAAGCTTTACGGCAGACCAGTTGTGCAGAAATTTAACTGGGAAGCTAATGGTTGTCATTTTTTTTTTTTTTTTTTCACTGAAAGAGCCAATAAATCCTGATCGGGGGGCACTTCTGTCACGCACTTGAATTTCACATATTCAGAAAAGCGTGAGCCTGTTGAGTAGATCTAATGAGCGGCTGTCACAGTCCACCCGTGAATTAGCACGTGTTCCTGACGGCCCGGCGGTGACTTAGCTCGTTCTTTCTTATCTTGCCTACCAGTTCCCTGGGAAAGTTTTGCATAAAATGCATGAATTTGGGGCTCTGTATTACAAAATTCGGTGTGGAAGACGTCGTAATTTATAGCGTTAGGGACATAAAACCGTGTGGATCAAAACGCTGGCCATTTAAAAATCCACGGATATAGGGTCTCAGCCAATAACCGCAAGGTGTGCTCGCGGCTCAGTCATGGACAAACCTGTTGGAAAGTCACAGCTGGTTTTGAAAATGAAAATCCCAACAAGGCCGTGAGTGACCGGGGGCGGGGGTCCTGCGGACGCCCCGAGGCTTCCTGCCCCACCTGTCTTTCCCACAGCAGGTGTGGTTTTCCACTTCTGCCTAAACAGGGGGGTCGGCTGTTCTCTGACTCAGAGCACAATACATTGGAGTAAAATTTCTGACGGCCCCCCTCACTTTCTGAACTCTTATCACTAGCTCTCCAGAGCTCGGGAGCCAGAGAGAGTCAGGGAGCGTGGGATGATGCTCAAGGACCCTGCAAGCAAGCAGAGGACCCCCTGAGGCTCCACTGTTGTGTTCCCATGGGCCGCCCCTTCCCCTTCCTGGGACATCCCCACCCATTCCTTCCCCCAAGCTTTCCTGGGTCTTCTCCAAGCGAAGCCCAGCTTGGGGGGAGGGGGGGGATGGGCTTCAGCCAGGGCCCGTCCTGACCTGCACTCAGCACCCGCACCCCACCACACACCCTCATCACACGAGCCTTTAACAACTTCAGGATTGTCGCGGACCTTTGAGAAGCTAGGGGAAGCCGTGAGCCTTCTTGCCAGACGAACCTCATTCACGTGCCCTAAGGCCGGGTGCGTTCATCGGAGAAGGCTTTCGGCAAGTTTTGCCAATGGACGTACCTTTGGGTGCTGTTCAGAGCGAGGTCCAGCTGCCCAGCGGGCTGAATCCGAAAACTGCAGCAATGGTGACTTTACTCAGAGCACGATACCGTGAGTCATCAGAACGTGTCGAGATTTTGCGTAGAAGCGGCACGGCCCTGTTTCCGAAGCAGGTTGTGGTCATTTAGGGGAGTGGTTCCCCAGAGCCGGCCGTGCATTGAGAATCCCCGGAGAGGGGTTGGTGGCATCGACGGGGTCAGGCGGAAGGGGTCTCTCCGCCTCAGTGGCTGAGGCTGCTCCTCTCCTGAGACAGAGGGCAGCAGGGAAGGGTAGCTGGAGAAGGCTGCCATCGCTCTCCAGAGCGGAATGGCACCCTTATCTCGAGGCTCAGGGGCTCCCGGGGAGGCAGGGCTCTCTGGGAGGGAAGCCCAGAGGAGGCCGGGCTGACCCGGGCAGCAGGGAGCCGGGCAAAGGTCAGGGGCTGTGAGGGCTCCTCAGGAGCTGGGCTAGGGGAGCTGAGAGCGTGCGAGATGGGGGGGTCTGGTGCCGTAGACGTGACCACGTGCAGAGCGGTCATCGAAACCGCGGTCTGCCGCACAGACCATAGGTGGTTCTCATCACGAATACCACCTTCTCACCGGACGGTTGTCATGCAGCTTCACGAGCTTGGTGACTGGAAACCACAAACCAAATGAGGTGTTGTGCCTGTAACTCGTGCTCAAGATTTCTTCGTGGCTGCTGGTAACTGGTCACGCGGTCCCTTTTTTTCTCTGTGGCAGTAACGAGGAGAGGGGGTGAGAGAACAGAGCGTCTCCCACGGCCCAGGCCCTGTCAGCCTCAGTGGCACACGTCACTTAGCCGGTGGGTGACACTATGGAGTAGGTGACCTCTCCCCCCATCTTCGGGGTACGCAGGTGAGCCTTGGAAGAGTCGAGACTCCGTCCCAAGGACCCCCCTGCGGCAGGTGGTGCAGCAGGGTTTCACGGCAGGTCCCCCTCTTCTCCGTGTGGACGGTCGCCCCACGGCAGCCGTGAGGTCGCCTCCCATCACCCGGAGTCCCGCCCGCTCTCCAGGTGGGAGGCGATAGGACGAAATTCCGCCCTAGCAACTCTTGTGCCGTCAAAGAGCAGAAACCCGCAGGCATCCCCGTTTGCCGCTGCGGTATCCGCGGCTCTCCACGCAGACGCTGAGAGAAATCAAGAGCGTACCCCGACATTAGCGGGTATTAACTTAATTTTTGCCCCACAGATACCTCGACGGTGCAGCGAGCTGCAGTGTTATTTTTCCCGCAGTCGCTTCCTCTGTGCCCAGCACAGAGACGCTGACATCACTCACCGGTTTTCATTTTTCCTCATCCCCTGAGCATCGATGGAACCCCAGCTACTAACCCACGCTGGCTTTAGGAACCAAACCTTGAGTGTTTGGAGGTCGGCGGATTCAGATCTCCGCCGCGTGTGCTGCTGGCCCCATGCGGGCGCGATTGAACCCAAAGGCGCTTTTATGGCCGAGGCCCGGCAGAGGGGCCGCGGTCGCATGAAAGCTAAAGTCTTCATCCCCACCACTCTGTGTTTCAGAACAAGAAGAAAACTTTGAGTTTATCATCGTGTCCCTCACTGGCCAGACGTGGCACTTTGAAGCCACCACTTATGAAGAGCGAGATGCGTGGGTCCAGGCCATCGAGAGCCAGATCCTAGCCAGCTTACAGTCCTGTGAGAGCAGCAAGAATAAGAATAAGGTAAGACCCTTAGCCGCCCCCCGAAACCAAGAGCCGCTGATCGTTAAAGGGAAGCGAAGGCCCCGGAGGGATACCCCAGGGAGGGGAAGCGTCATGTGATGTGTGTGATGGGCAAGACCCAGTTATCCTCCCTGAGCCACAAGCTGAATGAGTGAAAAGATAAAAAAAACACTTTGTGTCGATACGTGTCGCGTGTTAGCGTCCTCGCTCAGCCACGTCCGTGCGGCAGCACATTCTAAACCTTCTCTCTCTCTCAGCGAACCCCAAATGTAAAGCGTTGACCTCCTCGTGGCGCACGCTGGGATCTTTTAGTCAGGCTCACGCAGCCACATTGATTTGGTTTTACGCAGAACATGCTCGGGAAAAGAGGGGCAGACTTAAAACGTTAACCTGTTCCCTCACAAGCGCGCCAAACTCAAACCCATGTCAAGCTGGAAGACCCAAGTCGTTACAGATGGGCGTCCGGGAGGAGGAGAGGCACGTATGTGAGCGTCCGGGGAGCTTGGCGAGGACGCCGGGTCCGTCGCCTAGACTCTGCTGATGACGCCCGATACGTGTTTTATTCGGTAACCCAGACGGGATTCTTGGCAGTCATTGAGCCAGAAAACAAACAAAATTTAAGCTGCATTTTCTAGATCCCTCCTGCGATACTCCTCCGAGAGGACTCATCTTTCCCATGAGGGCTTCCCTCCGATTCCTGATTTTGGTGGCCTGGATGCTTTCAAACCCTTCTCTGGGTCATTTTAGAGTCTTGAAGAGCATTTTGATTGTTCAGACTACGATCAACCGGAAACCGAGAGGCAGAGGCAGAGCATCGCCACCCACCTGCGGTTTCACTCGTAACCATTTAAGGAAATTTCTGCCGATGATTTATGCTCAGCTTTGTCATTGAGAAGGGAGTCTGTCTTTTTCAGAAAGGTGGCATGTCCTACTTGATCACCCTCTTTCACCAGGGTAAACCAGGCCACCGCCATTATTATTATAATGCGATTTGCTTCACTTCTGTAAAGATGTTTCTTACCCGGGGTGGGGAGAATCACCGCCTTTCCTTTTCCGAGTCCCTTGGCTTTACTGAGTCACATCCACAGATGGGGACTCCCGAGGCGAATGCGGGGAAGCTTCCGGATCTCCTCGAGGGTGGGGGTTGGTGACACACGTCCCACACAAAGCATGGGAGTCTAGTTCCAAAACCGGAGCGCAGAGAGCACGTGGCTGCACAGACAGACGCGTCCCCAGGCTTTGTACACGATCACAGTATTTCAGGTTAGGCTCTGAATCCAGCCCACGGCGTCCAGATTCAGGAAGAAGTGAATCTCCCGTTGCCTTTTTTTCCATTTCTCACACTTGCCAGGCCCTTACCAGCTCTTTGGGAGAAGAGACGGCGTCACTTCTGGGCCTGACGCAGACACCAGCCGAAAAGGCCGTCCCTTTCTTCTAGCCGTGTGCACCGGGCAGCGGTCCCCCGGGGGGGACGAGGTCGCACCTGTTCACCTTGGATGTTTGAGTGTCAGAGTGCCCAGCATGGAAATCCCGTCCAATGTCCCTCCCAATAGCTGGAGGGAAAATGCAGACCTAGTTGAGAATGAACTCTTGAGAAATTGTAGCTGCCTGTGGGTAACTCAGAGTTGGTGGCGGGCATAGGCATACACACACACACACGCGCACACACACACACACACACACACTGCGGAAGTCGGACAGGTAGACGGACGCAGGTAGGCATATGTACACGTAGTCCAGATGCCAACGCAAATTGTTAAATACGCTTTGAATACTTGGGTGTCTAACCAAAGGGATTAAAATCCTAGTGCATTGTGTTAATTACATAGTAGAAGTGAATAAATTATAATCTCTGTTGCTAGGTAGTGAGCACTCAGTCGTTTCCCATCAAACAGTTGACAAGAGTTGGTTCAGCTTATGCATTCTGACATGAAAATCAAGCTTATTTTAAGTGTCCTCTGAAATTTGTTTGGGTTTATCCCAAATTAAACTTACACACCATAAGCCTTTAAAAACAGTACGTAACACCATGGGGGAGGGGAAGGGAGAAAAAAGGAGGGGAAGGAAAAAAAAAAAGAGTGAGGGAGCCAAACCATAAGAGACTCTTAAAAACTGAAAATAAACTGAGGGTTGATGGGAGGTGGGGGGGGCGGGTAGGTGACGGGCATTGAGGGGGGCACCTATTGGGATGAGCTCTGGGTATTGTATGGAAACCAATTTGACAATAAATTTCATATTTAAAAAAATAAAAAATAAAAACAGTACGTATCCTGGGGCACCTGGCTGACTCAGTCCATAAAGCATGCAACTCTTTTTTTAATTTTTTTGAAATGTTTATTTATTTTTGAGAGAGACAGAGACAGAGTATGAGTGGGAGAGGGGCAGAGAGTGAGAGAGAGAGAGAGAGAGAGAGAGGGATACACAGAATCGGAAGCAGGATCCAGGCTCCAAGCTGTTAGCACAGAGCCTGACGTAGGGCTCGAACCCATGAAACGTGAGATCATGACCTGAGCCGAAGTCAGACGCTTATCTAACTGAGCCACCCAGGCGCCCCAAGCATGCAACTCTTAATCTCAGAGTCGTGAGTTCAAGACCCACATTGAGTGTAGAGTTTACTTAACAAAACAAACAAACAAAAGTTAGCTTAAAAAGACAGTACGTATTGTTTCACCGAGCACCTCTGCTTCCAAAAATTTGTCATTAGTAAGTAATGACAAAAGCAGGCAAAGTTTTAGCAATAAGCAAGTTCTTTACAGCACTGTTTACCCTGGAGAAAAATGGGAAGCCGCTGAAATGTCCATCAAAGAAAACTTCATAAAGAAGTTCTTGTAAGTGGAACAACAACTTCAGATGATGACATTGGAGGACAGCATGGTGCCATTGAGAAATGACAGTCATTAGGCTAAAAGGCAGATCTAGGGGTACGTGGGTGGCTCAGCGGGTCGAGCGTCCGACTTCGGCTCAGGTCACGATCTCGCGGTTCGTGAGTTTGAGCCCCGCGTCGGGCTCTGTGTTGACAGCTCGGAGCCTGGAGCCTGCTTCGGATTCAGCGTCTCCCTCTGTCTCTCTCTGCCCCTCCCCTGCCCACACTCTGTCTCTCTGTCTCTCAAAAATAAACATTAAAAAAAAATAAAGGGCAGGTTCTAAAGCAATATATGCCGGCGTTTTCAATAAGTACGTGTGTGTGTACAGATAGTGCTAGAAGAATAGGTATCAGAATGTTAATAAAACCGAAGTATGGGGGCGCCTGGGTGGCGCCATCAGTTAAGCGTCCGACTTCAGCTCAGGTCACGATCTCGCGGTCCGCGAGTTCGAGCCCCGCGTCGGGCTCTGGGCCGATGGCTCGGAGCCTGGAGCCTGCTTCCGATTCTGTGTCTCCCTCTCTCTCTGCCCCTCCCCCGTTCATGCTCTGTCTCTCTCTGTCCCAAAAATAAATAAACGTTGAAAAAAAAATTAAAAAAAAAAAAAACCGAAGTATGGATGATCACATCAACACTTACAAATTTTATATCGCTCCTTTCTCCCTTCTGTATTTTGTTCAACGTGTTGAGGGAAGACAGTTACGTATCTGTTTGAAAACAAACGCCGCTCCCTGCCCCCACCCGCATCGGTGACCTAGTTGCTGTGGCAGCCGAGATAGTCTCCCTATGGAAGGGGAGTCTCCAAGGGACAAAGTGTGGTTTGGACGTGGCTTCCCGGCGAGGAGCCACGGGCTGTGTCTCCCCGCGCTGACTGAGCCCCGATCCGCGGCTTGTAAAGCGGCTTCTCATTCTCTCACCTTTATGGAAGCAGGCACCCGGCAGGGCGTGTTAACCAGCGGCGGCTGGTCCGTGCCCACTCTCAAATGACCCAGAACTTCCCTCCGCCCCCCTTTCTGGTGAAGTCCTCTGATCTGCCAGGTCTTGACCCGGTGCAGGAAGCCTTCTCCATCAGTTACGCTTTTTGCCCAGAGACCTCGGGAGAGGAAGGGACGGCTCGAAGTGGTCCTCGTCCCGTATCTGCTGACAGACGGTTTGGTTTTTCCCCGACGTCTCCAGCGGACGTGGAAACGTGTCCCGGGTTCTTACCTCTTGCATTTGTGTGTCTTCCTCCATGCGCAGTCCCGACTGACGAGCCAGAGTGAGGCCATGGCCTTGCAGTCGATACGAAACATCCGAGGGAACTCCCACTGTGTGGACTGCGAGACCCAGAGTAAGTGTGGGCCGGGGCGGGGGGCTCGGGGGCCGGCAGAGGGCGGCGGGATGGTCCAGCAAAGCCCTCGTCACAGCAACCCCACTTCTGTCATTTCCCGTGTGAGGGTTATTGTGTCACGTAGGGGCTTTTAAGGAATTGACACATTCTCGCTTGGATTTTATTTTACCACCATATCCTTCGCCCGGAAGCCCCACTGATGGCACCCCAGGTCTCGCTTAGGCCTTGGGCCTCGGCATTCCGAGGAACGGCAGTCACCCCACGCCACGGGTTGGCCGCGCGCCCGGATTTCTGTGCCAAACCCAGGAATTAACCTTTTGCTTAATCAGTGATCATGTGCTTGTTTGCTTTTCCATAAAAATACAGTGCCGTTGTTAATTCCCGCCCAGAGATTTCTGGAGTTTGGGGTTTTTTGTTTTGTAATTTCAAAATCATTTTGGCATCAAAACAGTTCTCTCTTTTTTTTTTTTTTTTTTTTTTTGCCATGTTAAATTCAGTATACGCTAAAGCATCTGATTGAACTCCCAGACTTCATAATTACTTCTTGGTGCCTTGGAGTAGCCCAGTTTTACTTGGTGCTTCCTGCTGTCCAGTACGGAATATGCTTTTCCCTCTGAGAAAGTCATTTTGTTATTTGTATCCTTGAGGTTAAAGACCGACTTCTAATTCTCTGTACCCCCAGCCCTTAGCACAGCACTGGGCACATTCGGTAGAACTTTCTCCGGCCATGTTTTGTGTCATGAAGGTGTGTTTTGATGAGAGGGAAAGACAGGTGAGACAAGGTGAGAGGCCTTGGCACCGGCCGTGGTGTCACCTGGGAATCGCAGGCGTGTGATGCGGTCCTGGCCATCCCCGAGCCCGAGCCCGGTGGGCAAGGCGGGACCCAGAGACCACAGAACCCGCCACCGCGGAGAAGGGCTGTTTCCGGACGCCCAGCGCCTCCAGCCGCCTCTGTGCAGAAGCCGGGGTTTGCAGGGAGCAGGGGGCGCCGGTGGGACGTGAGCAGGTGGCTGCAGGAGTCATCGTGTCCGGGGAGCAGCGGGACAGGCAGCGGAGTGGCGCTCGCACGTTGATGACCAGCGTGTCTGCTGCTGGGTTGGAAGCTGGTTGGAGCTGAGGGGGGTGAGGGTGCTGAGTGGAGAACGTAGGAGCCTTTCTTCTTCATCTGTAGACACTGGGAACTCCTTCCCGGTGTGAGAGCAGAGGTGAGATGTGTTCTGAGCCGTGCGGCTTGGAATCGAGCCACGGAGGGAGGCAGAGGCCGCCGTGGGGGTGGTCCCGTGAACAGAACAAGCAGACTGTTCTGTGAACAGAACAAGAACAGGCTGTCACACAGGAAAGGGGACGTGCTTGGGGCGCCTGGGGGGCTCAGTCTGTTGAGCATCCGGCTTCGGCTCGGGTCATGATCTCACTGATCATGGGTTCGAGCCCCGCATCGGGCTCTGTGCTGACAGCCCGGAGCCCGCTTTGGATCCTGTGTCTCCTTCTCTCTCTGTTACACCCTCACTTTCTCTCTCTCTCTCAAAAATAAATAGATTTTAAAAATTAGAGAAAAAAAAGGGGGACACATCTGCTCTGAGCAGCCACTGTGTTGCAAGGCAGGGACGGGAAAGGTCCTGAGGCCAGCGTCCACAGCCCCCACGTGAGAGAGAGAGGGTCTCTTCTTCAGGTGTCTTGACGCACTTCCTTGAAGCATCTTTTGTTTGAATTTTTGAATTTTGCTTTCAAAACGTGTCGGGAGATGAAGTTCCAAGACAGTAGTTATTTGACCTGTGTGTTGTTATCAAAAAGTCTTTAGAGTTAGAATTCTAAAAGCACAAAATCTGAAAGCTCTTAGAACCTCCGCTAGGAAAGGCACCTACGATTGCTTCCGCCATAGAGCTAGAGTCCTTGGAAAGGGCCGATTCCGTGGCTCACAGGCTCCGTGGTATGTGGTGCATTGGAGGCCAAGAGTCCTTTCTGAGAGCAGGTAGGTCGCTCAAGTGCCAAGGTGGGGGGGGTGAGACACAGAGCAGCGGGAGAAGGGAGGCTGGGGGGGGGGTGGGGGGCGCCCCCCGAGTTGGGGGGGGGCGCCACCCAAGCAGATATTCAGGGACAGAGGGAACAAGGAGAGGCCGAATGTGACAGTTGCAGAGGAAAAAGAGGTCACGGGATCCCATTCCGTAAACATCTGGTCTCCACCAGGCCCGCACTTGTCTTCTGTGATGCTCATGACTGTAAATGCTGGTGTGGCCGTGGGCCCCACGTACAGGGGAGGAAATGGGGCGTCTGAAAGTCCGAAAATAGCCGATTTTGGTGCAAGTGCTGGGAAGTGCACCACCCACACCCTCATGATGAACTGTGAAACTCCCACAGGGCAGTTTGGCATCGTACATAAAAAGCCGTAAGCAAGTGGCCGCCGCACACTCCAGCTGTGCCCTCCAGGCGCCAAGCCCGTGGGGATGAGCAAAGGGCCTCAAAGACCTGGCTTCGAAGGTGTTCAACACAGTGCTCTTTATAGAGCAAAAAGTCGGAATATCCCACGTCTGCAAAACCGGAAGAACCGTTCGTGGGGATGTCTTCTCGGTGAAATAATGTGCAACCTGAACAAGTCGTGTAAAAAATACACGAATGGAGATGGAGAAACTTGGGAATGCACTGGAAACGAAAAAGTATTTAGGCAGTGAGTCAGGGAGAGCCCAGTGAATCATTTTCGGTATTTAGGTGGAAAAGATCTGTAAGGATGTATTCCAGAACATCGACCCCACTTGTCTCTGAGCGGTAGGGTCCTTGGTGATGGGGTTGTCTCGATTATTTTGTAAGTGAGCGTGGATGCAGAGGAAATTGCACACTGGGTAGTCTGTGTTTTGGTGTGTGCGAGTACGAGGTCAAACGTTAAATGTGAGAAAAGGCTCTTGTTTCTGGGTGTTGGAGAAGAAAAGCTGTTAAGGTTGCAGCTCTCTGCTGGCCCGAGAGACCCTGCTTGCTCCTCATGGGCTCCCGTCCAGGGAGCTGGCCCTGCCTGAGCTTTCCTGGGGACCGCACAGGACACCCCCCAGCGCCCTGAGCATCCGAGCTGAGAGGTCATCTCTCACTCTTCCAGGGGGTCTGGCGGGAGGGGGCGGGCCCGCCAGACCACAAATGTGGCTTCCTTGGACATCACGGGGATCTGGGCTCTTGTGTTCTACTGACGCCATAATCCCCTCTTCAAGGGGGGCCTGGGGACTGGGCCCCGGGGGCCTCTCATTGGCATGTAGCCGAGGCTGGTTTTTATTGTTCTTATTCTTCCTGACTAAAGGGCTTTCTTTTCCATTTTGTTTTCTTTTTTTTCTTTTCTTTTCTTTTTTTTTTCTTTTGTTGAGAAAAGAGAAATTGAGCCAAGACAGACAGTGACTGTTTCTGGTCCCAGGTAGCTTTGTGTGTTCTCCGCTTTAGTCTCGCCATGCTGTGCCTGTCAGCTCCTTTGACTTCCAGAAGGTTCTTATCAAACCACGACGCAAAGGAAGAGATCCGTGTCCGCCCCGGCAAGCTGCCTTCAGGACTGTGTACCGTCGGCGACAGCATGGCTGTGCCTCTCTGGGAGCCCTGGAAGTGGCCGAGCCCCTCCACACAGCCCAGTGGCACCCCCGTGGCACTGCGGGCTGGCACGGAGCTTCGCTGGGGGTTGGCTGGTCACAGAGGGCCGACACGGGGCTCCGTGCCAGCCTGCAGGAACAGAGCGGGCCCTGCCTGGCATGTCCATCAGCTAGCAGTGCTCAGGGGGTTGCCTCCTGGTTCCCTCCGTTGTCTGAAGGCAGAGACGCCCTAAGGGGCCCACCCCGCTGGGGTCCCTTCTCCCAGAGCTTTGGCAAAGGGCCTGGCTCTCGAGATAATGGTGGGTCAGTGCTGATGGCCACAGGAGACATGGGCCACCCGGACGGAAGACTGTCAGTGCCAACAGTGCTTGATCTGTGGCCAGAGAGGGTACCGGTTTAGATGTGACGCCCACCTCGGAGAGGGACAGGATCAAATCCAGGGAAAGCAGCTGCCCTGTCACCTGCGATGGGGCAGGGCAGAGGCGAGAGCAGGGCACACGCTCCTGTCCTCCACCGCGTGGTTGGAGACAGGTGGCAACAGCCTCCATCACCAGCCATGATGGTGGCTACACAATGAACTGTCACAACATGAAGAATTTTTCTTTTTCCACATCCGGTCACTTACTTTGAGAGAGCACATTTGCATGGGAGAGGGAGCAGAAAGAGAGAGGGAGAGGGAGGGAATCCCAAGCAGGTTCCACGGTGTCAGTGCAGAGCCCAGCGCGGGGCTCTGTCTCACACATCGTGAGATCATGACCTGAGCCAAGATGGACAGCCGACATTTGACTGACTGAGCCACCCAGGCTCCCCAAGCACTGTTTTCAGTAGAAAGTACTTTGGATATCATTAAGTACGCAAAAGCAAGAGAAAGCTTTTTTCTTGCACGTGAATATGCACAGGTCAAAAAAATGAGTTGACCATAACGGAAGGGGGTGGTAGTTCTAAAGTTTTCTTTCTTTGTTCTTTATACGTTCCTTTAAATGAGCTTATTGTTTTTATAATTATAAAAGGGTCTTAAGATTGAGAGGGACTTGAGGATGTGGGTTCCCCCCATTGGCAACTTATTGTCCCCTCTGAGGGTGGGGCCCAGTGGTCCAGTGGTGTCCAGTGGTCATGTGGGAGGAACGTTATGGAAGGACCACTGTGTCCCGTGGTCTTGTGGAAGGAACGTTGTGGTAGGACCACTGTGTCCAGTCATCATGTGAGAGGAACGTTGTGGGAGGACCACTGTGTCCAGTGGTCATGTGAGAGGAACATTGTGGGAGGACCACTGTGTCCCGTGGTCATGTGGGAGGAACGTTGTGGGAGGTCCACTGTGTCCCGTGGTCTTGTGGGAGGAACGTTGTGGGAGGACCACTGTGTCCAGTGGTCATGTGAGAGGAACATTGTGGGAGGACCACTGTGTCCAGTGGTCATGTGGGAGGAACGTTGTGGGAGGTCCACTGTGTCCCATGATCTTGTGGGAGGAACGTTGTGGGAGGACCACTGTGTCCCATGGTCAATGTGGGAGGAACGTTGTGGGAGGACCACTGTGTCCAGTGGTCATGTGGGAGGAACGTTGGGCTCCAGATGCCACATCCCCTTCTGTGGGTGATCTCCCCTGGCTTGTGAACACAGTACCCCCCCATCTCCAGTTCAGTTGTGTCCCCGTAGGGCTTGGGGATTTCTGTGTCACTTGGGATTTGGGGCTGTGGAAACCCCCACCCACTTGTTCTTCCTGAGAATGTGCCAGACTGCATGGAGACACTGTCCGCACAGCTGGTAGACCCCAGAACCCTGTTTCCCAGAGTGGGTGCCCATCGGTGGAGGGAGTCCGTGACGCAGGGAGTTTGGAAACCCACAGCATCCTCCTCTTGAGGAGCCGCGGCCTCGGGATATCTGTGCTTCTGGGAAATCCTGCAGCGAAGCTAACTATCAAACAGGGTCCGGACTCATCGGATGGCAGAAGCCTTTGTTCAGAACCCCTGCTGCCAACCGTCCACCGGGAACATGCTAACGAAAGTCTCACCCCTGAGAGCCCTAGAGAACCCGAGAGCTTGGAGCCCTGGCGTGGATCTCGCCAGCATGCCTGACCTTCATGGACAGGCTGGTAGAGGCAGCTCAGTCTCTCCACTGCCCCAAGGCCCCCTCATCCATGATGCCTTGCTGCCTACCCGGTCAGAGCTGATCCCTCCCTCCTGGCTGGTCTGCGACGCCCTGGATGGAAATCACTGGCGTGAACTCCTCCCACCATGTTCTATTAATGTTGTCAGTGCCTTTCTCTCTCGTGTCCCCCTGGATCTCAGGGGCCCCGTCATTTATCTTTGTGGACCCTAGGCCCACACACAGGAAGGGACACCAGCCCCAGTCCCCCAACTCTAGATGTCCCAGAAAAACCTAAAGTAGGAGCACGTTCAACCTCCGGCTTCTGTCGCTTGCTCTTTCCTGCAGGCATAGACAGGAACTGCAAATTACGTAACCGTCAGCCTGACATCCTTGGGTCTTTGCCCAAACGTCGCCTCAAAGAAGCCTTCCCTGACCACCCCTGGGTTTAAATCACACACGCGAATCCGTCTCCCTCTTCTCCCTAGTGGGGTTCTCTCGGGGCACACCCTTACCAACGCGTTGTGTGTTTGTGTGTGTTGTTCTCGCTTTTTCACTGTCGGTCTGCCCCGGAGAACCCAAGTCCCACATCTCTGTTTGCAGGGGTGTTTGTGTTCCGTTTGCTGCTCTGTCCCCCGAACCTGGCACGGAAACAGCGGTGGATTTGTGAAGGAATAAACGTAATTCTAGCCAACACGGAGCACTGCGTTTCCATGTGTGGTCACCTCACAGCATTTAACGCTCGGACAGCCCCACGGGGACGGGCCTCATTAGCCTCATTTCCATCCACGGCCTGGAGAGCAAGAGACATTTGCAAGGGGCAGACAGGGCAGGAGGGCGTGTGCTGACAGGCCCGTGGGGGTCCCTGCGCTGGAGAGGGAGGGCCCTGAGGCCGGAAGGGGAGACAGGAGATGATTCAGAGCTGCCAGGCCATGTGGCCTCACCTGTAGGCCTAAAGTGGCAGCCCAGGGCCGCGACACCCCAACACGTCCCGGGAGGTGCGGGGGGGGGGTGTGTGTGACTGGTCAGTTCTGCTGACGCCTGCTAAGTTGTCGTTCTCATCTGTTGGAGCAGAGGCAAGGCCATCCTTCCTGTGGCCCCAGTGGCAGGGCACTCAGACAAGGCCACGTCCCTGCAGCCCTTGGACTTAACTGAGGTGACCCCAGGTCACAGCAATGCTTTACTCCCCTCTCGCCCTCGGTATTTCTGATTCCCTAGCTTTCATGGAGATCCACGTGTGGTCGTTGACTTGTGTCCTGTGCGTGCTGTCTCTCTTCTGGGGACACCACAGCAGGGAGGCCTCTGAAGCTCATGGGGGAGGGCAAGGCGACAGTGCATTGAGTTCAAAACCGGGGGTCGGGGGTGGTGGGGTCCTGTGCCCATAGGAGAACTTGGAGAATAGTTGCGGTGGTGGGGCGGGCAGTGGCACCTGGTGAGAGAGACTTCACACGGCTCAAGTGAGCGGCATGCGGTGACCGTGGGGACAGTGTGTGAAAGTATTCACCAGCGGTGCTCGGTGATGGGTGGAGGTGGGCACGGGAACCTCACGGCTTCCTAGGACGTGTGCCCCGCCTCACGCCAGCCCTGGGGACAGGTCCCTTGCTGTCATTGGGCTGTTCTCTCCACCTGAAACTATACACCGGGGCAAGCTATGCAGAGAGGTCACGAACGGGAAGAGGTTGGCACCCCTGACCCTACCCCTTCCGCAGGGAAGGTGCCGTGAAACGGGGCACGTGTGGGGAGCACCGGGGACAGGAGGAAGGGGACGGACATTGAGAGACTGAGGTGCTTGGTGATTGGCTGGCTGTGGGAGCGATGGAGAATCAGGGTCGAGTCCCAGGATCCCGGCTTAAATAACCGGTGAACCGGTGCCATTTGCTGGGATGGGGTTGCCCCTGGCAGGAGACGACGTTCAGTGAAACGTGGACCGGGAGGTCCCTGCAGGATTTCCAAGTGGAAATGTATGACGGTAGTCCTATGTGCAGCATGGAGAGAGGAGCGTATCTGTGTTCACTGAGGCAGATGGTATCTGTGGACAGTTGTTAACCATCGGGTAACAACAAGATCTGTGGGTTGCATTGAGTTGGCTTAGGAAAGAGTATAGAATCAAGAGACAAGCCTACAGGACCCCCTGAGGTAAGGGGCGGGTTCAGGAGGAAAAGTAGGGAAGGAAATCAAGATGGGGAGCCAGACAAGTGCTAGAAAGATCCAGGGAGGGTACCGACCAAAAAGGCATCTGGAGGCAGTGTTGTAAGGAGGGCTAACCAGAGATCAAGTGAAATGATGGTTAAACACAGCCCTTCAGATTTCGCGTGACCTGGTGACTTTGGCTGCCCTGCTCCAGCGGCAAGGTGGGGATAGAGGCCAGGTTGGGATCGAGAGGTACAGACACAGAGGTGGTGGGTGTAGAAGTAGGGCTGTGAAGAGGCGCAGCAGGGGTGTCCCGCAAAACATTCGCCACCCCACCCTCCTCTCTGATCATCCTACAAGGCCCAGGCCAAGCCTCCTCCATGCAGCCCTCCTTCCTTCACCTGTTATGGCCGACCTCTTCCTTCCCGCTCTGCCTGTACATTTACTCTTTAACTGTACCCTTCAGTGTTTAGTCTGCATTTCCTTACTCTGTTTATTTTTATGGTTGACTATTGCTGTCATTAGTTGGGACGTACATTTCCTCTTCCCAACCACAATGTCTCTGAGTCACGGACCTCTCTTCTCTTCCATCTCCCCCATGATATCCATCACCGCTTTCCATGGTGTGTATGAGATACGAAACAAATGGCTGGCTGATTTCTGGTGAATGGGTACAAGGCCCCTTGACTCTTCAAGGGGACCTGGAGTAAATACCGATTATTCCTGGATGACTTAAACCTTACTTGATCCTGTCGGTGGTCAAAGCCATTGGCTGTCCAGGTGAGAGCTATCTTTGCAAATCCCCCTCGGCTCTAGGATCTGGCACGCAGCCCACCTGGGGCCTGCCTTCTCAGTCTTCCAGTGCTGCCAGCCAGTTTCACACTGGGCGTGACCCAGCTCAAGGGTTCAAGTCGTATCCCCTAAACTCATTCGTTGCCCTTGGTGCATCGTCACAGCCTAAAGCACTGCCATTCACTCTGCAGGTCAGGGTTGCTCCAGCGAGGTCATCACCTAACCAGTGGACCCTGCCCACCATCTTGCCAGCAGTAGTAGATAAGTTGGAGTTACTCCAGTGGTCCCCCTTATGTAAGATCGCTGAAAACCATGTCTTCATTGTCGTGTGCCTGCCTGCCTTTTGTCTTTGAAATCTGCAAATGTGTCCATTTTATGACTATTGAGAACTCAGATATGCCTGTGGTTGCTGAGGTAGTTGTTTACAAGGGATACCGTAGCGCTCTCGAGTGCTCTCTTTCCTTCCATCAGCAGCCGTCCACAGTAGATGCAAGTCATGTGTGGTTCTTTTCCACGTGCATCTGCGCTCTCGAGAATGCTACTGTCAGGGAACTGGGAAATGCATTTCTCTGTCCAAATCACTGCCGGCAGCTGTTTTTATCATGTAGGGAAATTCCTAGGCTTTGGCCGAAGCCAGATTGTTAAAAGGCGCCCCCAACATATCAAACCTTCTGAGATGCCTAAGACGCTATGGAGTCCTGGCCAGGGAGCATTTCCAGGCCACGTGATTCCAGGGAGGGACTGCTGGGTGTGAGGTCTAGCAACTGGCCTCTTTGTTCCTGAGATCCTAAGGGCGGTTGGAATGAGTGGTGATGGTCTGACCCCCTGTTCCTCTTCCCACAGATCCTAACTGGGCCAGTTTGAACCTGGGAGCCCTCATGTGCATCGAGTGCTCGGGGATCCACCGGAACCTAGGCACCCACCTTTCTCGAGTCCGGTCTCTGGACCTCGACGACTGGCCCATCGAGCTCATCAAGGTGATGTCATCCATCGGGAATGAGTTGGCCAACAGCGTCTGGGAGGAGAGTAGCCAGGGGCGGACAAAGCCCTCGCTGGACTCCACAAGGTAGGGACGTGGGAAGGTGTATGGCTCGGGGGCATTCCGCCAACAGTTAGACAACTGGAAATGACCTTACTGCTTACCGACAGGCTCAACATGGATGGCCCTGGCAACCTGTAGGAATAGTGAGGAGCCTGCACAGAAATGTCTGTGTTTAAAATTGGTGTTCAGCAGACGTGGATAATTCAGACTCCTTAATTTTTTATGTTTGTTTTTACACCTTGGGGATTCCTCTCTCCCTCTTAGAAATGTATTAAGCTTCCGACCTTATGAATATATCACTTTAATTAATACATTTCTAATAGGTGTAAGCTGTGCTGTTAACACTAATTACGAATTTTTGATTCTTTAATGTTGTTATTCTTATATGTTTGATAAGCATCTGCTCAGTTGGTTTCCCTCGCCCCTCCTACACACACACACACCCACACTAAGTGAGTTTATAGTAACAAAATATATTTTATTTTCCTAAAATATATTTCTAACACATTTAATCAGCCAAGTTCGGCATAACGTATGGTGAGTCCTCATTAATGTTAATTGTTACGCAGTGTAAAAAACGCATTTATTTTGAGCCCATTTATTTTCTCATTTTTCATTTACAGCTATTATAAACCGTTTTTGAGTACACATACATATTTAATGTACCTAAGAGGTGATAAAATGGCATGTCTTCCGAGAAAGCCTGCTTCATCGAGGAGAGTGGGTCATTCCATCTCGGCGGGCGGCTGCCCCCAGGAGGAGGCGTCCAGGGTCACGTTTCCACCTCTGACGGGGGGGGCAAGGGGCTCGCTTTCCGCTCTGGCCTCTCGGGTGTGTGAAAAGAGGGACGGAGAGAAGGGGTCTCCCATCATTAGCACGTTTTAAAGCCCTGTGGCTTGTTTTGCTGGGGATGAGACCGTGTGCAAGTGCCCATGGCGGTCTGTGGTGGTGCCCCACTTGAGGCGTGAGAAGGCGGTTTCTGCCGCTGAGCAACAATAATGCGCGCAGCGTCGGTGGACTTTGTTTTACGGACGCTGAAAAATGAATTTGTGGTGCCACCTTCGGTTCACTTTAGAGAATGAAGCTGGTGTGTTATTAACCTGCTCTTCACGTCAAGCGTCTTGTGGGGAGGGGGGCGAAGGGAGCAAGAAGCACCCAAAGCATATTTGTCTGGTGTTGCCTCAGTTGGCTGGGTGAGCTGCTTATGGGTGAACTCCAACACGCAGTGCCTACGGGGACAGCTTAACTACAAACTGAAGAACCAGTACCCTTTTCTGAATTTTTTATCTTGACCTGTTTAACGCTAACATAGAAATTAGCAGGCCATCAAGTAGAAGCATTCTTAAAAGACAAATTTATGTATTATTAATATCTGTTTTTTCATAGATATGGTTTCCTTAGGGGATAGTTAGGTCTAAAAGCGAAATATGATTGGAAATCAGATTGAGCTTAATGTAGGAGTGCAGAGAACATTGAGATAAGTTGGAAAAAAAATTAATCATGCATTTTATTGTTTGTGTGTAAAAGGAGCAGATATGTTATTTGTAATACCCTGAATTGGAAAAGTTTGTTTTTCTAAATCTATCATAATTAGCTACTGTTTAGAGTGTTCAAAGATACGGGTTGATACTTTTAACTGATAAGTGTTTTATATTAATTTCATCTTCATAAGTGAAGGTTGTGTGCGTACAGGCACTTGATTGTTCTAATTTGTATATTTGAGTTAAGTTCTTGAGTGCATAACTTTCTCTTCTCTCCAGCATTGTACACATCCCATGTTTATATTTTGGACACGTTTTATAGTCTTCCTTTCTCACATACGAAGTGACTGCAGCAAAATCCCACCTTTTCTTGGATCCCATTCGCTGTTGGCTAAGAGCCGCTGAGTTTCAGCCCTCTCTCTAAGGCTGTGGTGATGGTGATGTTGCAACGTGGTGTTTCCAAAGGGAGCTTTGGAATGTCTAAGAGGATGAACAGCTTTGAGAATTGAATGTCTCTTCGTGCCTTTAGTAATTCTCCCAGGGAGTTTTGTTTTTAATTTATATTCAGCTGTTACTCAGCGAGCGCTTTCTTGTAGAAAAGAAGCGATAAATGGTGATTTCGCACCTACAGTGATTTGTGAATGTTCCGGGGGGCCAGCTGAGGGTTCCAGAACTCAGGAGAATTCACAGTATGGAGGGATTCCTATAGCCGGTGTGTCCCAGGGAAGTTTCACTGGAGAAGTGGCACCTGAACTGGACTTTCAAATGTGGGGTGATGTCCAGGCCTGGGGGGGGGGGGGGGGAATGAGCATGGCCTGGGCAAAGTCAGGACCTGTGGGGGAGTACAGAAACTGGGGAGTCACCACCCATGGAGCTGGGCCACCAGGTAAATGAGGAGGAGGGGGGATGTTGGGGCCAAAGCAGAGCAAAGACTGGGGAGAGCCTTTGAGCTGGGTGTATTATAACAGCACCTCCGGAGTGGCCAGAGGGTGAGGGTTTAGGGGTTCACGTGTGATCCGCCTGATCCAAGAGTGCTAAAGGCAGCTAGCAACGTTGTTGGACAGGATGGAGAAAAGGCAGGGAGGCCAGTTGGAAGGTTGTGGTCCTGGCGGGTTATACCTAGAAAGGCGTAGATATACACCGTCAAAAACAAAGAAACAGCTTTGCATTAGTGGTGCACCAATAATTCAAACCCTCACCATCTTCACTGCCTCATGCAGTTTCCTCACATAGAAAGGAAAAACGCAAAGTTGGGGCTAGAATCTCTGCGTGGAATTCGGTCTGTGAAAGGAGAGTGGATATGGAGCCTGGATCCCGCCATCCTGGGACAAGGAAACGTGCCCCCCTCCACCAACACCCACCACCTGTGGTCTCTGCAGAGACCATGATCGTTAGTCCGAACAGCAGGGGGGAGGGGGGAGGTCTTCTAACCTGGCCCTAAGGTAATTTCTGAAAAGAAATACTTTAATAAATTTTTATTCCTATCCAAGGAAAGGCCAAGTGCCATGGATCCAGCTTTGGATCTCTTTGGAAAAGAGAATCTTTGGAATTCTTTGGAAAAGGGCGCAGCTGCGTTCCCAAGCAGCCCCGTCCATTCCGTCTTGTTCAGAAGATTCATTCTGACAGTGGAATATAATTAGAAATGGGCCGTTCTTCCCCAAACACACACGGCGCGCACACACACACACAGTTAGGACCGTGGGGAAGTAGAATACAGCCCATCTTTCTGCAAAGAAACAACCGGTTCCCCGAAACCACCTCGTACTGGCGTCACCCAGGCCTGCGGGTGAGTTAGGAAAACAGGCGCCTTTGACCAGCTGGCTGGCCTTCTGCTCGCTGTCCCTGCACCCCTGATGAGGGCAGCTTCGGACGGCTCGTAATTGGTTCCAGGGATTCTCAGCCGCCCTGAGAACTGCCGTTCAAGCTGGAGCAGCATTGTGATCAATCGAAGCTGACGGCGGTGAAGCGGTATTGACTTCCCCTTCCTAAACCGGGGAATCATTAGTCAAGAAAAGCATCTTTTAATTACTCCCAGGAAGAAAAAAAAAAAATCTTTTTGGATGGATTCTGCAACAACTGCCGTTTTTTCCCAGTGCATTCGATATTAAAATTTTTGTCTCTCAGGGGGGGGGGGGCCGCTCACCCCCCCCCCCCCCCCCGGTAATGGAGGTTTAATTCAGAGAAAGGAGCAGGGTAGAGGATATCGATGCCACGACAATTAACTACATCTGGGGTGGAATCAGAATTCCCCTCTCTAATTGCTATTGATATCATTTAAGCACACACTTAAAATATTGATTTTAAGTGCAGATGCTGAAGTAGGAGAGCGGCGGTGACAGTGGATGGAATTTACTAGATTTTAGGGGCGTAAGGAAGGGCAGCGGCAGGCTGTCTGTGGGGCGAGGACTCCGGGACGCTTGGCGTGCGAGTTGCGTATCGCACCATACGCTGTGTTGTTGTGTGCGGTCGGGGTGTGGGGCCTACGGCAGCCAGGCAGGACTCTGGTCCCACTGTTAGCACGCACGTTGTGACCATAGGGCGAAGTCAGGGAGCTCTTTGGTGACCCTTTCAAATCAAGGAATCGTAGGCTCGGAGGCAGAGACATCAAGTGCACGTTTCTCGAGTGAATGAACAAACGAGCAGACGAGCGCATGGGGCAAAGCAGGAACGGGTCCGCTTGGAACCCACGTGTCCAGTGCTCTTGCTGACCTGAGCGTCGAAATTCCTCGCGCGTTCGTGGAGGAAATTGGGGCTCCCATGTTCGCCAGCACGCGGCAAAGGCGTCCGTCCCTGCAGACCTCTGACCTCTTCCCCTCCCCGGCCACGCGGTGGCTACTCTGCCTCACTGTGGTGTGTCCTTCTTCTCTATTCCTATTCCCCGTTCCGCTTTGGAAGCTTTCCGGGTTGACTGCAGTGACAGCAGTTTCCTAGCAGGGCCGAGCGGAGCCCTCCGGGACGTGTTCCTCACGGCCGAAGCTGGACTCTGCCCGGCTGCCTGGTTTGTCTTCCCGACTCCCGTCTTAGGGTCTCAGCATCGAGGCATCTGGCCCGCGAGGGTGTGCAGGGACCGGTAGCCGTTTGCATCTCGGGGCAGGTAGCCTATTTACACGGTGGTCTGAGAGCCAGCCGATCCGGTCTCGGCAATCAGAGGAGCCTGGACGTGTGTTTTCGGTGCTATAAAGAGCCCTTGGGAGAAGCTTGAACCCCAACTGAAATCCCCCTTCCTTCTGATCCCACTTGGAAGGGAGCCGCGTCGCTGATTTAGTAGACACTCTTCTGCCTCTTTGAGCCTTCTTTTTCCTTCTGTCATTGTCACCTGCATGCCTCAACTCCCCTCTTGTCTTTAACCTATAAAAAGATGCCACCTTCGGGAGGAAGATTTGGGGCCGGACGTCAGAAATCTGCGTGGGAGAGACCGGCCGCACACTTGCAGACGGACCAAGTCTGCCCAGTGACACGAGTTCCGGTCCTTTTTGATTTGGGAACACGACTTTCATCTTATTTATGCACACGGAGATATTGATAAAGGGGAAATGTATCCAA